CACGGATATAGACACGGGTGTCGTATCCAATACTATACGAATATGGGGATATGATAAAATTTTAAAATATAGGACATGGGTGCGGCGATGATACGATTAATTAAAATAATATAATATATTTTTATATATATATAATAACATTAATAATGATGATACCTCAAACAAGCCCTAACTGTGAGGTCAGGTCAGGAGGTCGGGTCAGGAGTTCAGGAAAGACGCGAGAAACTCAGAGAACCAGGGGTGGAGTTTCCCTTGGGGAGATCGTAGCTGAACCGACCAGGAAACAGTTGGATGACTGCAGGAATTGGACCCCATGCATAAAACTCTCAATCAACCAAGTTTCTCTCCTAAAATCAAGGAGTATCCTATGAATAATGGGCAAAGATCTCGACCGAAATCCCACGAAATAGGGGGTAACCTTATAAATACTATGCAACGCCTCATCATGAGGCAGAGACAAAGTGAGGGAGGGAGAGAAAAAGACAAAAATCATAATCAGTTTAGCACTGTCTTGTATTACATTCAACTAATCAATAGAAAAAAGAGGAGCAAGAACCTCCATTGAAGAGTGGACTAGCCGAGCTCCTGAGCCGGTGAACTACTATATTTTTACTGTGTACACCTCTTTAATCCCCTTAATATTTGATTATAGCATCATACACGAGCCTTGAAGCTTTGATTCACGCTCATCTCACGCTACTTGCACCTTTTGCTCATCCACGTTGATTCATGCCATCAAATAATAATAGTGAAAATTGGGGCTGAATCCTTCTTAAGGGACTTATAATGAGTTTAATCCGTCAAGAAAAATTATTTAGGGATAAGTCCGTTTTTAATCTAAGTAGTTAAGTCCACTATTTTTTTAAAACTCTAAAATACCCTTATTTGAAAATAACTTTAAATTAATTTTCTAACTTGGGAATTATTATCCCTTAATTTTCTATCAATAAAGATATGCCAATAAATTTATTTACATAAATTTGAAATTCAAATTTAAACAACAACTGATACTCTCTCTCTTTCTCTTTATATATATATATATAAACTTTTTTGTCATATTACTGTTCATGTTACTACTTTTATGAGCATGTTACTGTTTTTGTTTGACATGTTACTATTCATATTGAGCATGTTACTACTGTTATTTTTTCAAATATTAATATTCAATGTTATTATTTTTTTGTTTTTGAATATTATTATTTTTTTGAATTTAAGTGTTACTACTTTTTTTTGTGTTTGAATGGTATTATTTTTTGTGTTTAAATGTCACTAATTTTTTAAATTTTACTCTATGTATGTGTGTGTGTGTGTATGAGGGAGAGAAATAAATAATCCTATTCCATGGATATAGATAGATACGAGAGATAAATTTTTTTTAAATGTTAGTTAAACTCCTAAAATTTAAGAGTTATTAGTTTTTAAATTTGTTTTAATTAAATATAACTACTAGAGATATTTTGAAAAATGAAGATCAAAATGAACTTAATATTAAACAAGTATTCTTGATGAACTTATCACTAAATAAGTTCATAATGGGAGATCGGCTTCCAAATTTTTCGTAATAAAATTGAGTAATTAATTAATAATTTATAATTGGAGAAAATGAATTAATATTAAATTTGATTAGTGGGCTAATATATTATGAGCAGTGGGCTGAAACAAATTGGGCAGTGGGTGACAACTAATAAGGTATGATTGTAATTTAATATAAAATATAAGAAGTCTAAGGGTTACTTGTAAATTGTAATTGACCAATTAGGGCAAAGAAAAAAGGAAAAGAAAATAACAAGGGTTGAAAAGTAATTAAGAAAAACCCTTACTGAATAAGAAAAAAAAACTAAACTTGACTTTGTTGCTTTTCAACAACTAGGGCATGCCGTAGGCGAAAAGGAGCGATAGAAATGACAGAGATCTCAAGCGAGAGAGAGAGAGAGAGTGTGTGTGGTCGAAGAGGAGATTTGAAGACGACATACCTTCTCGAAGAGGAGGTGATCTGTGGATATGACAATAGCAATGGTTGATCAGGTATCGTCTTCTTCACCTTTTTTTTTTTTTTGGTTTCAACATAAATCCATGGTTGTAGGTTGTATCCCGCTGCATCACCCCTGTATTCGAGTCGTATCTGTCCATAACAAATGCTTTTCACTGTTTAGGACACTTGCGAAAGTGTTGGACATGTGTTCGATCATGTCCCACGCGTATCCGTATTAGACACCACCACGTCGACTCCCCAAGGAGTATCCGTGCTTCCTAGTGTATTAATATATGTGCATTTTGGTGTATTAGTGCATGTGTGTTTTGATGTATTAGAGTGTTTGTTTGTTTTGTTGTATTAGTGTGTGTATGTATGTTTTGCTATATTATTATGTGTGTGGTGTATTAGAGTGTGTGTTTTAGTATATTATTTTTTTTTGTGTGTATATTTTGTTGTATTAGTGTGTATTTTATTGTGTATAAGTGTGTGGGGGGGGGGGGGTGCGTGTTTTAGTATATTAGAATGTGTGGGGCTATGTGTTTGGTGTATTAGTGTATCTGTGTTTATGTATTTTAGTGTATTAGTGTATGTATATTTTTTGGTATATTAACACGTGTGTTATAGTGTATTAGTATGTGTGGGGAATAGGAATGACAGTGGACCGGGAAAAAACGGGTATTTGTCCAAACCTGTCCCATTTGGACCGGGGATGGACTATACATATTGGACGGTGGACGTATACGGGAATACCCGTATAAACCCGTACGGAGATGGACTTACCCTTACCCCCGCCCCCGCCCCCGCCCGCCTACCCGTTATATATATATATATATATATATTAGGAGTTTGGATTAACTATGCTCTAAAAATAGATAAAAGAGAGTAATATAGTTTTGCATTTCATCGTGAGTAGAAATATTGTGAATGGAGGTTGATGAGTTTCTCTACTAGAGTGAACTAAGAAATTGGGAGAATTATTGAATTAGCAAAATTTTAAATTTTCATCTTTTAACACTTTATAATTGTAATATGAATTGTAATAACAAAAATTCTTCTAGGAAACTTCAAGTGTAGTTTTATCATTTTTTTAGTTGAATTTTATTTTCCTTTTCTTCCTTTTGCTCTAATAGTTTCGTTTATCTTTTTGTGGTCCAATGACACTTTAAATAAAATACTATATTGTTTTGGCTTTTACATTTTACAATCTAGATTATTGACTAGATTATTTAGAATGTTGTTGGATTATTTAAAATATTATATTTATTTAAAATTTGGATTATACTACTTGGGTTTGAGGTTAAGCGGGTACGGGGGAAGTGAGGACAGGGACGGGAATTAGAAATTTACCCGCGGACGAGGATGGGCATGAAAACTATATCCGTTAACGGGGGTGGACCGGGGATGGATGAAGTTTTTTTAAGAGGGTATGAGGATGAAGACTACACTCCCCGCCCCCGTTTCGATCCATTGACATCCCTAGTGGGGAATGAGTGTGCGTGTGTTTTTTGGTGTATTAGTTTCTGTGAGTTTGGCATATCACTGTACGTGTGTGTTTTTGTGTATTAGTGTGTATGTGTATGAGTGTATTTTGGTATATTAATATGTGTGCGTGTGCATAATTTTGTGTAAAATTTGTTATTTGCTTAAAAAAAAATTCATTTTAAAAAAACACTACTTTTTTTTTTTTGCTTTTTAAAAGTCTTTTCTTATATACACAAAACAAACAGACCTTTTATTTTTTTGCTTAAAAAAAAGCACAAAAAATAAAAGAAAGTACTTTTGAAAAGCATTACCAAACGGTGCCTTAAATTGAGGATACCTAGGCATGATGATACCAAATTTCTAACACGCGCAACTTTTTATCAAAAACAGATGTTGTATGTCTCATGTGGGAGCCTTCCATTCGCATTTAAGCCACCAAAAATTTCCCAACATATTTTTATGGACACATGTTTAGTTCCCGCCCGTAATCTAGAAGATGCATGTATTATCTGGTAGTGTTTGTACGTATGTTATATTTGTTGACGGTTATGTTTTTGGGACCTAATTGTTTTTTGTTCATGTACCTAGATATTTTAGAGTTGTAAGAGATTATTAGTGTGTGTGTGAGTTTTGGTATATTAATGTGTGTATGTTTTAATTTATTAGTTGTGTGTGTGTGTGTGAGTGGGGGGTGGGTAGGAGGGGAATGGATGTGTGTGTAATTTAGAATAATAGTGTGTAAATGAGTGTTTTTAGTTTTACAAAAGAAAAAACACTATATTTCTTATTTTGCTTTTTAAAAGTTTTTTTTTTGATCCAAAAACAAACGATTGTTTTTACTTTTTTGCATAAAAAATTACTTTTATTACCAAACGGTGCCTGAGCTTGCGGAGACCTAGACATGATGATACAAAATTTCTAACTCGTGCACCTTTCTTGCAAAAGCAGAAGCCGTATCACATGTTGGAGCCTTCTATTCGCTTTCAAACCACCAAAAGTTCACTAGCAGATTTTTATAGACACAGGTTTAGTTCCTGCCCGTAACCAAGAAGATCAATGTATTATGTGGCCTTGTTTGTATTATGTTATATATGTTGATTGTTGTGTGTTTGAGACCCTTTTTTTTTGTTTATGTACCTAGATTTTCCAGAGTTTGTAAGAGATTATTTTGAAGGTAGACTAGGTGTTTTGATCTTATGAATAATTTTGAACTTATTTTTAGTATTTTTTTTTTTTTTGGTTTAATAAAAATAATTTGCCTTCAGAAAACACATTGTTAATTGTCGGCATGATCGGCCTCCTTATTTTAAACGCGTATGTACATCAGGGATGCAAATAACTCATTAACCATTTTAATAGTTTCTTTTTTTCCCCATTTCTTCCATGGTTTTTTTTTTCTTTTGGGTTGCTTGTGTACTTGGCATGAGTTTGCCAAATTCGAAACCTCCTAGTTTGCAAGGAAAAAAAGATGAAGCCAGAAATCTGACTTACAATGAATTGAATCTTTATCACAATTTTTATGTATCAAAAGAAATGGAAAGACGGATGAGAAGAGTTGCTTAGATACACTTTAAAACTTATAGTAATTAGAGAAATAAGATGACAAGCACAATATATAGGAGTGCTTACTCTCAGGTCATTAATTCAGGTGCAGGTAGAGGAAGCAAAACCCAACTTATTTCTGATTAGATCAAATTCCCAAAGATGGTTTTGTTGGAGAATATTGCCGATCACAGAAGCACCGGGCCAAATTGTTGATACGAAGCCGAGGCACTTCACTCCCTCGGCTGCGTCAATAACATAACTCTTGACGTGTGGTCTGAATCGTGCACCATCTGCAAAATGAAATGCTAACCTTGGCACCAAAGACTCGTAGAATCCAGAAGAATTAAAGCAGTACTCGAGTGGTCCTACGTCCAATAACCTCAAATTTTCAAATTTCACCAGGGACACCTCTAATGCAGCCATTATTGGCCGGTATGCTGGTAAAGTTAGGAACGTCAGGCTTGAACCAGAATCAAGGATTGTTCCTCCAACACCATTAACATCCCATACTTCACTTGGGATTTTTAACATTATGCCGCCAATAGAGACGCCCTTCACATTTACAGCATAGAAGGCACTGATCACACCCAGGACAAGCTTGGTATATTGCATACTCTTTAGCCTTGCTGCTTCTGCTTCTGCTTCTGCTTCTTCATAAGCACCAAAGGTGAGATAATTAGAGACGTTTTTGGGGCTTAGGTGATCAACCAGGCAGTAAGAGAACTTGCCACCGAATTTGTCAGCAGCTTTTAAGGCGAAAGAGTAGTTGCTGTAGCCCAACCCCATTACACCATCAGCTTCCCGGAAGCTCTGGCCCCGAAGAGACTCGCTACATCCGATGAGCAAGTCCTGCAGCCTCATCTTCTTTATATCGCTGAGACTAACTGTTACCGTCTCCTTGGCGAAGAAACCCAGCGCAGCTGACCCGTCTGAGTACCTAGTTCCAATCACAGCAGTAGAGATAGACAGCATAATTAAGAGTTTTTTTTTACCTGGTGGCCAAGAAACGTGCCAAGCATAATACTTCTATACTCTTGACTACTAATTCAAGCATATGCTATGAATAAGTTATAAGATTCTAACTTAGATAATAACCCTTTGTTTTGTATAATAGAAAAATGGAAGGATGAAACATTGAAAATATAAAAAGTTAGAGGGATAATTAAAATATTGTATTTGGTAAAAAAAAAAAATAAGAACGACACAAAAGTGAATGAATGAGTTTTTCTTTCAACTCATCAAAATTAATCCCTTCAAAATTAAGAAAAAAAAGTGAATAAAAAATTAATTGTGTTAAAAATGTATATTATTTATCTATATATCCTTTGACATATACATATACCATATTTATCAATTATATATATATATATATATATATATATATATATATATATATATATAAACATTAATTTTATATATAGATAGAATGGTAATATATGTATTTATATCTTTTTCAAAAAATAAATCTATCTTAATAAACACAAAAATAATCAATTATTCTTACTTTCCATCCTCCCTACCAAACACAACCCTCTTACCCCAAACAAATGAGAAAAAAAAATAACTCTTCATCTTTCTATTATTTTATAGGCCCTATCAAACGGACTATTAATATCAGGGCATTCAAGCTAACCGAGCCTAGCGGAGAATGTTGACAATAACTGGTGGTGCAAAGATGTGGGCCTGGCCAAACCTACTTTGCAATAACTGCCTTTTAAGCCGTTGTGTTGGACGTTGGTAAGAGCTATAATTACTTCACCAGTGGACGAACGGGAGAGTGCAACTACTAAAAAACCGTGGGATGTGACTTGGTCTCCGCATTTCATCATCGGCAACTATTGCAAATTAAAATGCATTCTTCATAAGATATTGCTATTGAGAGCTAAAAAACAATTAATATAATTTATTGACTTAATGACGTAATAATAACATCATATAATAATATTGTGGTGATTTTTTTTATGCTCACGCGACAACAAAATGGACCATAAAATCTTATGCATTTACACATGAGCTCAAAATAGCCACAAAAAAAAAACAATGTATTGAGAAAAAAACACAAAGTAATTCCATCAAGATAATACGACACAGCTAAAAATAAACAACCACCTTATAGTTTGACGTGATTCATGTCCCAAAAAGTGAAAGTTAAACATCCCTGGATATTTTGACTTAGAAGCTTTCAACAGTGTAATACGCTAATGGTAAATCCTTGGCTAATCCATGTATGTGACTTGAAAATGATTACATGCATCTGGAATTTAGGTTATAGTAATAGTCTAAAAACCATCTAATTGAGAGAAACCTTGGCTATGGGAAAAAAAATAGAATAAAAGATCAGAAAGTAATAACAAAGAAAAAGAATCCCATTTGGAATGAAGTCTAAGAGATACAAGTAGTGGAACTCGTCAAAAAAAGGGAAAATAAAAAACAGGAAACTAAGTACAGAATCTAAGCGCATGGATTAGTATTACAGGGAACCTGTATTAGAGTACAGCAGCATAGTTAAGCCGTGATTATAGCTGTAAGAATGCAATTGACTGTGACGGGGGGTTGTTCAATAGAAATTGTTAATTGAGTTGAGGAAGATAGAATGAAGGTAGGTGTATGTATCAGTATGGTATACCTGTAATCGTAGGCGCAAGGGGTCAAAGAGGAGGGGCAGCGAGCAAGAGAGAAGAGATTCATGAATTCGATTTTGCACATTGTTGAGGAGCAGGGAACTGTCCTAAAAGAGGCGGAGTGATCGGCATGAAACACCCTCCTCTTCCGATGATGGGAGTGATCGGCATGAAACACCCTCCTCTTCCGATGATGGGACGTCAATGACGACATACATTTAGGACCACCACCACGACACCGGTAGTCACAATTCATCCAAGTCAAGTCACTTCCGGTATCTGCAATCAACATCAACTTTTGTGGGGGTGTTCCAACGTTCAACACCACCAAGTACTGGCCTGTCCCATAATCGGCACCCGAACTCATTGGCATTTCAATAGAAGCAATACCATTCTTGTTTCGGCTGCTGCTTGGAATTAGATTGGTACTACTGTTATTAGAAGTTGCTTCTAAAGCCTTTCTTCGGATCGCTTTAGCGGTTGACGATCTTAAATGTTGTTCGTGTGATATTGTTTGCTGGCGAAGGATATCACTATGAAGTAGCTCTCTGATGCGCTCAAGCAGCGGTGTCGTCTTAGGCCGCCTCCCACCACCAAACGGCTTTCCCATCTCTTCAAGTCGAGTGGAGTGCCTGTGAATCAATTCAAACCTCATAATATGTGATTGGTCACCTCCCTCTGAAACATTTATAAAATCATTGACTAAACAAAGCAAAATGATCAAGGAGATTGAGCTTCTTCCTCGTCGACACTTCATCATATTATTCATTAATTGGTAGCAATACCACGAAAAGAACCTGCAAAAATAACAAAATGGCAAAGAATAGAAAGAAAAGAAAAGGAATGAATAGGCGCAGAATAAAAGGAAGTGAAGAGGCCGGGACTGGGAGGCTAAAAAAGATGGAGAGAGGCTGTGGTGCCTCTACAACTAGTATCTCGTTTTTTTCCATTGTTTTTTTGGCTGTATTAAGGAAAGTCGCGGGAGTGGGTGGGGGCCGGGGCAATGGGAAGGGCCCTGCATCTTGAAACCAACGAAAGCGACACAGATACATATATACAAGGGAAAAGACTTTTATCGACAATTATAATTTTTTGAGATATAAATTATAATTTATAAAAAAATAATTCATATCAATCATAAAGTTTTTTAAAGAATAAATTATAATTTTTAAAATTCAAATTATAATTCAAAAATGAGAAGTTAAAACTGCTCATGAAAATTCATGATCACATTTTTTTTCAAATAATTATAATTTAATTATTAAAAATAATAATTTTGATATCAAATCTTTTTTTTTTAAGTATCATAAAATTACCCAGTAGCGTAGCATAGCATAGCATAGCAGGGAAAAACAGAGAGCGAAGCAGCTTTTAGATTGATTTGAGTCCTCTTTCGGTGCATGACATCATGACTGGTCAATAATTAATTGCGATTATATCCATATCTTTCATCCTTGTTTGTTTTCTCTCCCATAATTATCATAATGTTAACAATAAATATACCATATTGTTCTGAAGTTGTTTGGGTCTGTCTTGGTAGGATGGTTTATATGCCGCCCAATATGTCCTTGTTGTTATTGCTTTTCTCTGCGTAAAGTATAGTTTTATCCGTATCTTTCGGGATCTGTGCTACAATTTTAGAATTGATCATTTAAGTGCAAATTATACAAAATAATATAATATTCAAATATTCGAGGGTCGAACCATAGAGAATTGAAAAAAATTTAGAACACAAAAAAAAATAAAAAAAAATAATTTTAAAAATAATTGTTATAGAGATTTTAAAATTAGAAAACAATAAATTTAGTTTTTAAAATAATAATTGAAATACTAAAACATCATAGATACATTTTCAAATTCACACAGTAATTATTGATGATTCAATTTTTGAAATCAATTGAGAATCAGCTGAGGAGTGATCTCAATCAGAATATTTAGCTGTGATAATATGAAAAAATCAAAAATTATAATTAATGAATTATTTGAATAAATATAAAAATTTACTTGTAGATCACAAGCATTCATAGTACCCGGAGTCAACGATAAATCAAATTTTTCAACAGGTAAAACTTATTTTATTGCAAATAATAAATCAACTATCTTATAAGAAATTTTAATTAATTAATTCAAATATAGAATAATCAATTATTTGACTCGCAGAGAATCTCAAGCATTCGATGTATGTGACACAACAAATCAAAAAATTATACAGATCAAAAACTTTATTAAAAGACAAGAATTAAATTAAAAGAATAAATCATGCATTAAAAAAAACATTGAATCAATAATAAATATCGTGCTTCATTGAAAATATCTCTCTTACCTTTAGTTGAGTTTTTAGCAAGGCATAGGACTAGAACAAAAACTAGAAAAAAAAATTTGAAAAGAATAATAATCATTATCTCTCAAAATATGAGAGCCCTTATTTTATACTAAAATAAATTATAGTAGAAAATATAAGATTGGATTGAGAAAAAATTTTTCCAAAAAGAAGTCTTTTAAGGTTAAATTCCGTGTATAAAATCTTAGAAGCCGTGAGTACAAAATCTGTTAAGACTTCAAACTTAAATTTTGCATATTTAGAAGTCGATTCACGAAATTTTCATGAAATACAATTTTGTAGCCCTTAAAATCTTTTGTCCAACCCCATATAAATTAGGTCAATCAGATATCAGAGTCAAAAGTTATGACCAAAAATACTGAAAACGTGTCAAATTCTTATCTTTTAGGATTCTTTCCTAATCCAACTTTAAATGAGTTTTTTTTCTCACTTAAACTCTTATATGGATTAAATTGTTGATTTATCTTCAAATCTTCAAATCTTAATTTTGACTCTTCAATTCTTATCAATTGTGTTTTTTTCCTATAGTGATTACTTCACTTCTCTTATCTATTGTTATTGTAAATCAATTAATTTACCTGTAAAATAAATCGAACAACTAGAAAAAGTATCAAACTAGAAAATCAAATAATCTAACACATTTAATCATAAATAATATACAATTAACCAATGATTAAATATAAAAAAATAACATTTTTAATAGTTAATCAATCTGTACCATCTTCCTAGGTTTCGTTTCAAATATCTCTTGATTGGACATAGACATATAATAGAATAGAGTTGTATCAGAAATTTGGTGCAAAGTTGACGAAGAGATTCATAAAGTTGATTTCTTCCTATCTTCCTAAATATACGCCAGCTCCCAAAAAGTCCTGTCAAAAAATTCCATTCCCCCTAAACTTAAATCTTGGTTCCATCCTTGCATATGTGTATTTGACTAGATTGTATTATTGTACGTCTACGCTGGTTTTTTTCTTTCTTTCTTTTTTTTTTTTTCCTGTGTGGTTTTAACATAAACTCTCTCACCAGAAAAGGGTTTACAGTTTTTTGTGAAGGCATACATTATGCAAGGTCCTGAGTTCATTTAGAATTAGGGGCGGAGCAATAATTCTTAGCTACTGGGCAAATTATGACTACAAAAATTAAACAGTTGATACATTAAATTTTTAAGTTCAAGTATTACAAATTAAATTAATATTTAAGACTGAATTGTTTTTTTAATGTGAATTTAAGACTGAATTGCTATTAAAACAGTCAAATTAATTTTTTATTAGTCTAATCAAAACATGAAGGAAAAAATACAATATTTGTAAGACATCTCCACTCCAGCATATATATTTAAGTGGAAAACAATATTCTTCGAAATATTATAATAAAATTATCCTTATTTTGTTGCAAAATCTAGTTGAAATTGTCCTCCATCTTATTGCATTAAATTAAACCTTCAAATTGGATACAAAAATATTGCAATTGTATAATCACCGTTCTTTTCATTTTTCAACTGAGATTTTTCAAACTGGCAAAGTGAAAACAGCTAGCCATGTTTAGGTGGTCGGTGGGTAGCTGTGATCATGCCTTATTACACGGTGGGTCTGGCCCTTTCTTTCCGCAATACGTCACAGCAGAGCAGACGAATAATCAATCAAGAAGATAAAAGTACCAATATTGTCAACCAAGTTCTATTGCGAAAATGTGTGAAAAGGGGAAATAGATGGACACAACCGTGTTCGGCTTCCTGGTCTTTCAAAAAGTCCCATTATTAATACAGGATAAGCAATGTTGACCACAATCAACATAATAATCTGTTCTAACTCCTACTATATTAGGACCTCAGCTCAAAATATAATCTGTTCTAACTTGAGTGAACTAATCCATACAGATGATTTTAATATATCCTTAAATCAACTTGAAAGTTGGAATTATTCGATATTCAAATGTTTTGAATGGATACAGGTATCTCTAGTGTTTTAGTTAATATAACGACTAGGAGCAGCAGCAAAATCAATGATAGACATCCTCATGAGCTGTTTGACTGTAAACTTGGCGAAACACGGAAACAAGATTACAATTTAACGTGCCAGCCAGCATTCAGATTAAGTCCATGTCCATATAAAATAACATCACTTGTAATTCGTGGAAATATAAGATTCAGAAGACAGCATTTATTTAACATATATTTTGGGACATTCATAAGTTTTATGCACCTTCCATTGCAATAATAACAATTGACACCATCTTGGAATCATAATGTAGATGAAACTTCTCGGCCACTGTTAAGTAAACATAAAAGGTAAAGTGAATGAAGCTATTATGCCTCTTAAAAGTGTGAAATAGTTTTACTAGTAGAAAGTTGTGAAGGAGGAAGCTGCAATAAACAATACAAACAGTAGTAAGATAGATGCTGATCAACTTCAACATAAGTTGGAGATGATTCCATCAAAGCTTCTTAAGCGAGGCTTTCAAATGTTGTTGGAGATTTGTGAAGTTGGTTGCCATTTCAACATTGTAAGACAATTCCCCATCCACCAACTCAAAAACTCGAGTAATCTCTTTCACCTGTACAAGAAAAAGGAGTTGATACAATTTAACCTCCCAGCTGACAATTTCATTACAGAAGATCTCCAGATTCCAGTATGAAGCTAGATGTAAGTTTCAGGACAGTCCCCAAAATTGATGAATACATCATTCTCTTGTTCCCATGGTTCTTCAACATCCTCATCTCTCCATTAATTACCATCACCATAACACTCTAGAAAAAAATGCATTCTTCAAGTAAATTTTATCACTAAAAAAATTGAACTGATGGGGAGTAGCATCTGTGCTACTCCAACATTAGATGATGTGTAGCACTCATTTCCAGGAAATAGCCAGAAAACTCAATTTTAGGATTGCACCTGGCTGAGCATAGATGGCATAAGTGAGCTCTCAAAGAGAAATACCAAAACCTTGTTGGCATGCAGAATTCACAGAAATGACAATGTGCAGACTCAATTAAATAGTCATTCCACCATCACCCGAACGAGTGTGTCAAGCAAGAAACAGAATCAGGAAACAATTTTAGGAATTAACTTATTCCAGGATGGGAGAAGTGGGAACAGAAGAATAATGAGAATTGCTCCAATGCCTGGGGAAATGGAGTAGTTACAAGAAGGGAAATAGAAAAGGAAAATTACAAAGAATTACAAGAATACTACCTAAGCCAAATAATAAAAATGAGCCATCTCTGTGGGCATGAGCTTTTATGGCATTATTTTGGGCAGTTTGGATGGAAAGCAATTGCAAATTTTTGAGGAAAAAATTAAGCAGAGTTGTTATGGGATATAATTAAGTTTTAGCATCTCTTTGGGCAGTGGTGACAAATGTGTTTCGAGATTCTCCTTATCATTATTATAACATAATTGGCAATCTTCTGGGATGGAGGAGGCTCTATTGTAATCTTTATTTTCTCGCGCTTTTGATTTATTTTGTTTTCGGATGGATATCTTATCCACATTTCTGTACTTTTGTACTTTTTATGAAAGGAAAGCCTTGATGCTTATTGAAAAAAAAAGCTATCAATGTACAGGATAACCACATCATGAAGCCACACAATGCAATTTGGAGTAACTAGATAAGTCTAAAACAATATAATTGATGCAATGACCACATTTCTAAAACATTCTTCAAAGCACCATGCTAAAACAGGGTACATCTAGCTTTGGGAGTCCCTTTCATTCAACATCTAAAGGAAAAGGTGGCTGACTTCTATTTTGATACGTCAAAAAAGAAAAAAAGAAAAAAAAAAAAAAAAAAACTCAGCACCACGCACTCCTTAAGATGATAGAAAGGACATAACTTAAGTTTTTATACTTCAACACACTCCTTTATGTGCAAACTAGATTTTAGGCCTAAAACGTGAAAATCTTTTTTATTAGGAGTAAGATTTGAACAAATGACCTTTGTTTTTCTTCCCCTTTCTCCATGTTTTTACAAACATCCACTTTCTTCCCTTCCCTTTCTCTGAAACAAACTCACTGTAAGAATATACAATAATACTTCTTACTGCTATAAGCTCATTCAATATATAATGTTTGTCAATCTCAAATTACCACAACTTCATGACGCAGGACCAATATGGCAAAACTTATAGAGAATAAAACAAAAAAGAATTATAAAGAGAAAAACCAAAAAAACAAATCGGAGACAAAAAGAACACAAGAGAGTTAGAGAAGAGAAAGGAGAAGGGAACAATTAATATAAAAATGATGAAGTATTTAAATTCCCAAATTGTGAAAAAAGTCCACAATTAAATCCCGAAAATCATACTTTGAAGTTTGAACCAAACTTCAACCAGTTCCCATTCACAGGTAGGGACCAAATCATGTTTGCACTGGGTGAAAATATAATCCATGGATCCAAATCCATAATCTAGGGAAAAGGATAAATGGAGAACTCAAACTAGCCATTATCATTGGTTGGGCAATCAACCACAATAAGATAAGAAATAAAACTCTTTAATCAAAAAAACCAGAGAGACGTGCTCACAAGAAATACTAATCGATAAAGACTGGTTGACAAATAGGAAAAAAGTTAACAACTGTGTAGTCAAGAAAAGTTCTACCATATAGAGGAATGCCAAAAACTCTTATCAACCATCAATATGAGGATTATATAAAATATAGGCTTGCAAATGACTATTCTCCCCACCAATCTTTTTCTTATGGGGCAGAGGAATAATTATGAACTTTCAACTGGTAGTAGCATCCAACCCACTAATTGGTGGGGAGGAAAGAGGCCTAGAAAACTCAGATACTAGTTTGAGAGTGTTTGTATCGATATGGGACAAATAGTAACAAATACACCGCATGTGTAACCCCACCCATACATGGAGAGATACATAGAAGAATCAAAAGACAAATCCACATATATAACTGTGATGCAATCCATAAAATGCTTAAGGAAACGCAAATTCGAAGATGTGAAAGATAGTGAAATTGGTTTTCCATCAAGACAAATATCCAGATGGAATATTGCATTATTGTATTTTGAGTCTTATTTTAAGTCAATAAGCGCGGACACAGATACAACACGACACAGACACGAAATTATTCAAAAAAGTAAGACATAGACACATTGACGATACGTTGAATAATATATATATATATAAAATCATGTGAGAAATTAAAAATATTATCATAATTATCTTTTAAATCATCATTTCCCTAATTCTAAAAATTCACATCATAATATCACTGTATAAAAAGTACAATATAAGATATATTGATACACATTCAACATTAAAATCCATGATCTAACAATCAATGACTACTACAACTTTTATTTTAAAAAATATTCCACTTCGTAACACTAATTTTCATCAATTTTCATGAGCCCCAATTTTGTAATTTCATTTTTTTTCAAATTCCTTTCATATTTAAAGGTTAAATCCATTTGTATATAAGTTCGTATTTGTATTCAAAATTATGTTACATTTATGTCCTATGTTTAATGTAATAATTATAATTTATTTTACATTATTATTGTGACTCATCTCTTTAAAATTATAAAAAAAAGCTCTTAATTATAAAATTATCTGAATAGTTCTCAAAAATTTAAAAATAAATCTCAAAACGTGTCTCCTAACATTTCCTGAGCGTGTTCCCAATGTGTCAACCGTGTGTCCTGAACGTGTCGGCTGCGTGTCCAAAACTTGTCATAAAAAAAATTTAACAATAAAAAAATCGGACACTCATTTTAACGTGTCCAACATGTGTTCGAGCATGTCCATGTTTCAGACGTGTCCGACACCGACACTCTGCTCAAAATGAAGTGTCCGTACTTCTTAAGCTAGTATTAGTATTTTATATGTCCTTTTAATAATTTTTAGTGTCGGGGGTATTCTTATAATTTATAAAATTTTTGGAACATGTCATATTTTTGGGTCAAATTCTAGTGTTGAATATTCTAGAATTTAAAGTCTTACTTCTAATTAATTTTAATTTTCTAATTTGTAAGGACCTAGAATTTTTGGAGTCCTATAGACTTTAAAGTCCTAATTTTTTGGGATTAAGAGTACTTAGAACTCTATATATAGTTAGTGTTACTTTTAATAAAAGAGGGAGAGATATTTCAGAAATTTCAGCAATTATATGCTTCTTGAGTTGTGTAATGCAATTCTAACCCTAGGGGTGATGCCAAAGTTACTATTCATGTTTTGTTCACAGCCCCATTACTGTTTACAGCCCTTATTTTTATTTTACAAAGGTTTCCTACATCAATTTTGGTATCAAGGCCAAAAAATCCTATGTTGGGCACACCAGTTCCTGGAATGGTTAGGACAAAGTGCACAACTTACGATTTTCTTGTGAGCACCAGTATTTGTATGATTTATGTACAATAGTTGTGTAATTGGTCTTGCCTTATAGTAAAAGAGTTTTTCACTTATTTTTAGGCATACTTCACTCTAGAACAAACAATTAGGTATTAGAACTATGCGATTTGACAATCTATTAGCAAGCGAACTGTGCAAACTCAACATAGCATATCAATTCCCAGCTTATATTACCTTAGAAGCATTGCCCACCAGTGTGCTCTTAAGCTTTACCACTTTTTCTTCCCCATTGTATGTCCCTTTCTGGAAAGAATATATATTACCAATGTGACAACATAGTACAGAAATTGGTTAACAAAACTATAGCATATTACGAAAACCAAGAAAAGAATCAAGTAAACTGGTTGCTAAGAAAAAAGAAATTAATGATGTTCCATAATAAGAATTTCACAGAGGTGCAGTTTATGCACCAGCTAGTGAATCAGATATGAAAAGATGAAGACATCACATAGGTCACCTAAAGAAATCAAAACTGATGAAGAACATGGAAACAAGAATAGCACAAAACAGGAATTTCACTTGGAGTACACTTTGGAAGAGTTGTAGTCAAGTTTAGGGTTTATTGTAGTCTATTTGTGTTAGCTTAAGTATGCTGCTTGGAATGTTTTTTTATCATATGAGGATGTGGGTGTCAAGAATTATGAGAAATTGTTACTGTGTTTGTGCGACTTTGCAAATTCTTGTGAGGATTGAAGCCTTCTTTTGTTATTCTTTCTAAAGTGTTGTACTCTTTTGCCTCAGTTAGCGTGTAATTAGATCTACTTAATCACCTTTTGCTAGGAAAAAATTCATATCTCGAAGAACAATCCCTCTATCAAACCCTAGACCCTAGCACCCAAATACTTGGAGAAAAGAAAAACTTAGTACTGGCTCACGTGTACTATTCATGCAACCTTAAAAATCCCTATGGGTCCCTATCCACTTGGGACACAAAATTTGGGATCCTTAGCAGTGCCGAAAACCCTTCTTTAGTATTCACCAATCAATGCACAAAGGACCAAACCATTTTCCTCCACCTTTTTCACCTATGTCACAAACTCTAGTTAGAAAAACCTGAAAATTAAGAAATCCCTAGAGGAAGCTATCATCCGATGTATATTTGAAATTTATTGTGGTTATCATTTAAACATCTTTCAATTCCACAACACCCATTCATTGGGCCACTATTATTCGGAGTTAGCAGCAAACTATGTCTCTTATAGTCATGCTTATTCATTAAATTTTACAGAATTCAATTAGGTTAAATAATTCATCCCAGAAACGAAAGAAAAACATATAACACAATGCGCGTGATTAGCCACTCTAGTAGATATGTGCAAGGGACAAATCCTTTTGTTCTCCATGTTAACTTTCTTTATGTGAGTTTTATGAGTAGAGGACATGAAATTACAGGCGAAACGACAAACTTAAAACAGCTCAAGGAACAGCTGAGCATATAGTGTACAATGTAATATATTGGCCCTCAACTTATACTTGGTACATGGAAATGTAAAACGACAGGAAGAATGGGCTTATCAAAATGCACTTCGAGAATAGGTTCTCAAAAGCTGCTAGTTGTTACCATGCATATGCGGGAACCTCTAAAAACACAAATCATGATTTCTTTCAATTGCCTTTGGAACAATAAGCAAACATGGAAAAGAAAATGAAGAGGACCTAATTCCATAAGCAAAGTCCTGTGAAGAAAAAGACATATGATCTGAAATCAACCAGGACCAAGAATGCTTTTGCGGCAGTCAAAAGTAAATTTGGTAAAGTACTATACGCTCAATTTTTTTTTTTTTTTTTTGATAAGAAACAAGTACAGATTTTTTAACGAGTATGAACTCGAAAAAAAGTGGTATGGGCACGAGAATAATAGGTGAGGTAAGCATGAACTCTAAACCAACAATGTTGTCTTTTGACGAGCTGAGGGCAGTTTCGATGGATTAAAAATCCTAAAATCACATGAGAATGATTGAAATATAGCGTTCAAATACCATTGGGTGTGCAACATCGTGGAAAAAGGCAGGCACCCACGCGTTGAAGTTGAAAGATAGAATGAAAGGGAAATTTGTCAAACACATGAACCGAAGGGGTTGCATCAGAGAACTTGAAGGGCTTCTCTCAAGAGATAAGGCCCAAAGGATAAAAATAATAGATCACAAGTCAGCAATAAACGAATTGCATAATTTACCTGAACTTCAACAAGACCGGTGCTCTGAGCAATGACAATTTCAATGGTTCCATCGGGTTTGGGTCTCCAGTAGCCACTCTCGGCGTGCATAGGCTCTCCCGAGTTTAATTTCCAAGTTCTTTGAGAATAAGCTATCACAGGCTTCTCATTCGCAGTTTTAGTAAGATTTGCCCACATAAAAATGTAAAAAATCAGTGCTACTAATACGACGACTATAGGACTCCTGCTGCGACTGTATTCAATTTCCGTCATCTATGTTCAAGTTGTAAGTTGTTCGTTTATATATGATTCAGTCTTAAAATAATAAATCCAGCACAATATATATATATATATATATATATATAGAGAGAGAGAGAGAGAGAGAGAGAGAGAGAGAGAGAGATTTACCTTGCCGGAGTGGGAAAAATGAAGCTCTTCGCCGTAACTGAAGGAGGAGATCGTGGGAAAACCGCCCTCGCCTTTACCTCTCCAAGTTCCCAGCAAGTAAGAGAGCGGTTCGATTGCCGGATGCACAGCTCGTCTCTCACCTCCATCCATCTCCTTCCTTATCCCGCTGCTGCTTCTTTCGCAATTTCGATGATTTCAATTGTAAGTTTGGCTGTTCTAAAACAACAAAAAAAATTTATTGTAAAAGTTTGGAGAAATTTGTAGTTTGGTGTATGTAAAGCTTATACCCTCCGGCAAATGTCATCCATTCCCCGCCTTGTTTAAATCGCTCAAATTTTTTAGGGTAATTAATATTATACATAGACCCTTTTAAAATTTGAGAGCTAATAACAAATAAAATCAGAGTCTGTTTGACAATTTTTTTGTTTTTATATTTTTTTTTTGATAAAAATTAAAAATATAAAATATGTTTGATAATCATTTATATTTAAAAAATTATAAAAATAAAAATAAAAAATATATTTGATATTATATCAAAAATTCACCATCCAACCCCACTAACCATTCAAAATCACCACTCAACTCCACTGACCACTCAACCCCACCATTAAAACCTACAACTCATCTCCACCATTGAAACCCACCACCACAACCATCAAAACCCACTCCACCGCCACTAAAACCCACCATCACAACCACCAAAACCTAACCCCTAATCCGACCACCGAAACCCACCCCCACATCCACCAAAACTCACCCCCAATCCAACCACTACCACCAAAACCCACAACTCAATTTATGTCTATATATATATATATATAGTATATATAATATATAAGCTAAAATAGTATAAAATTAAGCAAGAGAGACGAAGTGAGTTTCGTCTTTGTCTTTGTCTTTGTCTTCGATTTTGGTTTCAGAAGAGAGAAATCAACGAGAGAAAGAAGAAAAGAAAGAAAAATGGATTTTATACTTTCAACCAAAAGTCATAAATTTTGGGGTTAGCAAGATTCGAAGGTAAGACCACATTAAAGAGTGAGGTTGAGGCGCGCGGGTTTTTTTTTTGATGTTTTCATATTTTGTCCTTGTTTTCAAAATAGGGTAATAAAAAAAATGAAAGCACATCCCAAACGTGTTATTATTTTTTTTTAGCAAAACATGAAAAAAAAAAAAATACAAACATTATGTTACCAAACGCTACCTCATATTTTCAATTTCTGTGGAGATAACAATTAGAAATTGATGATGTCATCAAAAAAATATAGAAATAATCTCCAAATTGCCTTTCCCTACTATGGAGTCGGTATCAGTTGAGAACCAAATCATCTTAACGTTGAGACACATGGAGCATTGCTGCATTGGGTACACAAATACCACAAGTTCCATCTAGGAAAGCCACACTGTTGTTCAAAAAATAATCAGGAAAGCCACTAAACATTTGCAACTACTGTGATGTACTATATTAAAAAGAGCAGGATGAAAAACCTGAATACATAATTTTGAATTGATATACTAGTAGGTTACATTTTGACAATCCTCATTGTCAACAAATTTGCACGGGATAATTCCTGCAATAATATGAGACAGCGATCTTCAAATTGGTGAACCTGAAACAGCAAAGTCAGAAAAAAGGGGGTCAGGTGTGCGCCCGGCTAATCGCCTCCGAAACTTAAGTTAGTATAAGTTCAAAGGGTTTTGTCAATGGACTGTTTTTATGGTTCTAGATTACGTATCTTTGTCCATTTTTCTGAGGAGTATTTATACCTGAATAAGCAATAATTGTCAAAGATCTCTAGTCCCATCTGGACATCTTACATCTGACATATCATTCCTCTTGCAATGAGTGTTTTTTATTCACGTCTCCTCCTATTGAATGCTAGGAAAATGGGGTAAATGCTCGGTCATGTGCCGAGTATTTATGCCACTCCCCGAATACCCAAATTCCCCAGATCGGCATCTGACATCAACTGAGCATTGAATACTCGGGAGGAACAGTTCTTGGGGAGAGTCGATCACGTTGTCTCGACGCATCAGCCATTAATGCTTAGTCATCATGACAGTAGGCTTAGACTCTCAGAGGGCAGGTTCTGGCAGGCGCGCATTTATTTGTCTTGTCACTATCACTCATTCCGCCATAAATGAGGGGTCACATCGCATTAAATACGATGCTAGTTCTCGTATTCGACTACTCCGTGTCACCATACCTTAATTTACCTTTTCGGCACCCTTTGGACATCCCATTGTCTTTATTATTCCACGTGTCAACCCGGGGGTTGTAGAGCCACCTAGAGTCCCTCCAACTGCCCCCCAGCCGTCATCTTTTTCGCAGTGCAAGGCAAGTGGCGTAAAGAGATTGGGGAGCTCCATCATCACGCCTCATTAATAACGACGGTTACTTGCTCGTCTGGTGCCGCCCTTTTCAAATGCCCTAATGATGACCCAATTTTTCGATTCCCATTATCTGTGAGGCAGTATAAATAGGACGGTTTCATACCTTCTCAGAACTTTGCATCCTCAACCTCTCCTCAGCAATCAGACCCCGAGTGCTCCTTTGTTCTCCTCCGAGTTTCCTTCGTCCTCCGAGCTCTCTCTTTGAAGACCACATTTATGTAAGTATTTTCACTTGAGCTTTTTCTCCCTTCATTTCCTCTACATTTCGTCTTTTTAGCGCCCACCAATGGCTAGAACTAGTAGAACCAAGGGGGAGACGTTTGTTAGGGCTAGGACTACCCATAAGATGAGGAGAACCTAAGTGACTGATGAGAATATCCAATCCTTTAGGGTTAGGTATCACATCCGTGAGCCTGTCTTTGTTTTCCCTTTCGACCCCACTTATCATAGGAGGGATATGGGAGATGTGGACATGATGTCTTTCTGAACGAAGGCCATTATAGAGGGAGGATTGACCTTCTCCCTCCATCCCCTGTTGCTGGGAGTGTTGATGCAACTGAAGCTCTTTCCCCTTCAATGTGGGGTTAACTTCTTTAAGATTGTGATGGGCGTAGTTGCCTTAAAAGCTCGGCTGGGGACCAACTTAGGAGTAGACGAAATTTTATTCTGCTACAACTTGAGGCTAGTCACCGGGGGGCGATACTACCTCTAGGCTAGGGACGCCTCAATGTATCTGGTAATCCACATGCCTGACTCAGACAAGAGATATGTAGACGATCTGATCATGCTCGGTAGAAGTTGGGAGAAAGGGACCAGGCTCGAGTATGCCGGATTGTACTGCCCCAAAGTGCCGAGGGATGAATGTGTGTTTTCTTTCCGACTGCTTGATTTTGCTATTCTTGGGTCCAAGGGACGCACTGATTTTGCTTTGCTTTTGCAAAAGGATATCGTCGGGACGCTGCTCAACCATTAAGGTCCCAAGTCCGATTTACCGAGTTGCTAAGGGTTTGGTCCTCGGACCCAGTTGAACGAGCGTCGCATACTCTCCTCGGCTACACGCCGACTTACAGTCGATTCTCCCAAATTCTACCTCCTTTCAACCCTTCTGTTTGGGAAGACCATTCCTCGTTGGAAGAGGAAGAATCCGAGGGAGATTCTGAAGAAGAGTCTGATCACGCTCCCGAGCCCCTTGCGCCTGAAATGTTTAATCTGCCACTAGTCACCGCTGCTATAATGGAGGCCGCCTCCGCGGCAAGGAGAGCCAGGCTCGCCGGGTTGGCCGAGCCTTCCAACACTGCCCTCGGAGGCAACTGCCCCCGTCGTCGTTGCGTACGCAACAATCCATTGACCCGGCTGTGCCGACCAGGCAAAGGCCTTAATCTCAACAAGTCCCCTTTCCGGGAGACCAACAGAGGGACAGGCGTGCCCGAGATGCTGAACAATCTAAGGAGCGTTGTGTGAAGCGGCGGCAGGATGCCCCGGCCCCGGGCCCATCTGTCTCAAAAAAGTGGGTTGCTCGAGCCGAGACCAAGAGCGGCCGCCCAGTTCTGGAAGCCAACTCTATCCTCCAATCCCCCGAAGTGGCATTTGCCACGCTTTAATTTGAGGCCGATATGGCCATGTACAAAGGTTACTCGGACAATCGACTTCTGATGAGCACTATCTAAAATAACCTAGTGGTAAGTTTAACACTTTTTCGAGTATTCCTCGCACTCTTTTGGTCGTTCCCTGATATTCCTCCTTTTTCAGGCCAGCCAGCAGGTGGGGGCCATAATTGAACGACCAGACCAAGCACATCGCCGAGCTCATCCGCCATCGAGACGCCGTTCATGCTGAGGTAGAAAAGGCTAAGGCGGGTCAAGCTGCGATGGTAAAGAAGACCGAGGAGTATGAACTGCGAGTGTCCTCATCCGCAGCCAAGCTGCAAGAGTTCAAGTCTGTAATCAACGCTCTTACTGCCAAAGTGGACTCCATGACAGCAGAGAAAGTAAGGGAGCACGAAAGGCTGTAATCGAAATGTCAGAAGGTGTGAACGGCCACTCAAGACCAAATGGTCCCCGCTTTCGAGGAAGCCAAGAAGAAGGCTTTCAAAGAAGGTTGGGATGCCGCCCTTCACGCCTGTGACGTCGAGGTAGGCTCGGACTTGTTCGCCATACACAACTTTCGAAGGGAGGTCGATGACGAAGCCTTGGATGAACAGGTCCGATAAAACCTAGGTGACCACGTGGAGGTAGAAGGGTCGGTCGGGGTTGAAGGTGAAAACGAACGCATTACACTCAGCAACGGTTCTGACCAGCCTTCTCCTGCCCTTCTATCTTTGCCACCTGCTGAGCCAACAGATGATCTGCCCCCTCCTTCGCGCCCCATCATTATTGGGGTGCATGATACCGAGCTGGATGAGATATTAGGGGTTGAAGACGAGCTACAAAGGCAACGTGGAGGCCTCGAAGGGGAGGAATGAGCCGAGGGCCTTAGCAGCTGGTGGCTTTAGCCCATTCAATGTTCCGTACTTGTTCCGTAGCTCTTCTTTGTACAAAATTTAGTTACTGCTTGTATGCTTGGGGACGCAAAGCCCCTTTTTGATTTGTAATGGACTTCATTTTTCTACAAGTGTCTTTTCTTTCCTGCGTCAATCGTGTTTCAAGGAAATGGTCTTGACGTTACATTAATAAGGACCTTCTAAAGTAGCAAGACTTCATGTCGAATTCATAAAAGTAAACGCGTCAAACTTGCTGTTGGGTCTTTGGATCCCTTGGGAT